AAAAGTAAGAATTTAAAAGACTTTGAATGTCAAATACAAAATAAAATTCATTCTCTCATGATTTTATTTAACTTTGGAGTACCTGTGCAACTGACAGTATTCCTGGCTTCTGAAATCCCCTATGAGAAATTGATTTAGTGGACAAACAGTGCAGCTGTTTGATGAGTCCTATAGATAGATCACTTAAAAATAATCTACCCTACAAAAACACCATGAATTCGAGTTGTGATCAACAAAAGAGGGGATTTTTTGTTTGTTTTTTATAATCCTCAACCTGAGGATATTTTTCCATTGCTTTTCAGAGAGAGTGGAAGGGAAAAAGAAAGAAAGGAACATCAATGTGAGAGAGACACATCGAATGACTGCCTTGCCCCGACTGGGACCAGGGATGAGCCCACAACCAAGGTACACTATTGCTGGAATCGAACCCAGGACCCTTCAGTCGGAGGGCTGATGCTCTAACCACTGAGCAAAACGGGCTAGGGTGACAAAAGTGTTTTTAAATGTTACATTCCTAGACTAACACACTTTCTTTCTTTTGGAAAGAAATTTCCAAATTCTTAGTGCTAAAGAAAACATATGAATTTAGCACCATGCCTGGCACCTGGTAGGTATTCAGTACATATTGTCGGAAGTGAATTAATCAGCAACATTCCCAGAGTAACATCTCAGGAACTCCCCTGGCTTACCTGAGTAGAAGGGCAATCCCCTTTCTCTACCTCACTGCAGCATTTCTTTTGAACACCTAGCCCATTAGATTTGGTTCCGTTTCTAGTGCTACTATTACAGACAATACAAAGGATACCATATGGAACAATAAATTTACAATGACAGTAAATTGGCTTAATTCTAAATCTACTACACTCTATGTCATGTGCCAGAAGTCTGTAAAACTTAAATACTGGTTCAGTGCTAGGTACAGCAGACTGAAAAAAATCAGAGATGACAAGTCAGCACTAGTAAAATTGTAAACCAATCAGAATTAAAACGCTGAAATTACTTTTAAAGCCCTCTTTTAATGAGAATCTGTATTTAAGATGTAATAAATTTTCTTCCAAATATCCTAGTAGAGCTAAAGTTATTGTTTGTATTAAAAAGAAGTCCACTTTAAATGTGCAAGGTTTAAAAAAATACTCCGGCATCTCACCTAATTCTTTGATCTTTAAAGCAGAGGAAATAAATGCCTATAATGGGCAAGACTGTGTCTTGCTCTCCACAGTATCATCAGAACTACTAGGTGGGCATGCAGTGTGGCTTCTCAAACAGTCCCATCCTCTAATGAGCTAAGGTTCTCTGTGTTGACATCACCATTCCAAAAAGTTAGCTACTGCTTTCCCTCTTATCACTGAAATATCACCCAGTTTTGCTTCCCACTTCTCAGTTTGTAATTTGGCCTCAATGTACTCCTTTTGACCACATCTTCTCTCCACAAAGTAACTGTCCATGGAGCTTGAGAAACCAGTACTGAATTAAGAAGGCTAAAGTTGAAATGCACCCACTCACCTACTAGGCATTACTCTCTACAATAAACTTCAAACAACTTCATCAAGTACCTTTTTCTTTACTACCTTGTCCTGCTGGTCTTGAGAATGAGCTACAAATGCACTAAAATTAAATGTAAAGTTCTTTCTTTATAAGGTTTATCTACTACCACCTCCCTTACGTACCCACTCCACACACCTACACATATACTTCAGTGTTTAAGCAGCAAGACAGCTGCTTGTTCAATTAACTCAACATGTTACTGTGGCTTCTGTCTGATGAAACTACTGAAGGCTGAACTTAAAATTATCTACTGACAAAAGAAATCAAGAAACCATAGTACTGAATTTGAGTCATATTCACTTCAACTTTTACTAAATTCAAATGCATGTGTTGTAGAATAAACACTTAATAAAATAGTTTATATAATAATATGAACAATTGTTTTGTTAGGGCTTTAATTTTTAAGTCAATAGTTTCATCCCCACAAACATTCTCACCTCTTCAGTCTGGCAACAGACAATAATTGATTTCTGGGGGGGAAGAAAAAAATTCCTTGGCTTCAGGAAGCCGCAAATAATAGCAAGAAATTTTAACAGCCAAGGGCAATGTGGCTGAAGGCTAGAATTGCTTTTTTGAGCAGAGTTTCGGGTCACTGCAAGGTGAGGGTTTGTCACAAATAATCTCTTTACATACAGGCTAAAGCTACCGAGGAAGGATGTGCTTCATGAACACAACAAGCATCAGGAATTTTTCTTCCCTCACTGGCAGGTGTGGCTCCATTGGTTGGAGCATCATCCTCTACACCAAGAGGTTGCATGTTTGATTCCTGTCGGGGCACATGCAGAGGCATCTGATCAATGTTTCCCTCTCACACTGATGTTTCTCCCTCATATCAATGTTTCTCTCTCCCCCTCCTTTCCTTCCCTCCCTTCCTCTAAGATCAATTAAAAACAACAAACCAATTTTGTCTATTTTAATAAAAGAATTTTTCTTCCCATTAAGACACTCCTTTTTTTCCCTTGCTACAGCAACATAATCAAGATCAGACATCTAAATTTCTATAAGGGGATACAATCTATGTGTGTTACTAAATAAATGTAGTTCTGAAAAAATATCAAAATAAAACAAGTGTATATACTGAATATTTTCCAGGAAAAGAAACTCTGATATTTAAAAAAAAAAAAAAGAAAACATTTCACAAAATTAAAATTATAAAAAAAATAATATTAATATTATTGGCTTACAAGTTAGTCTTACTTGGTAAGACAATACAGATAATACAGGCGCTCAAATTTATCATTATTAATCCACATTTTATTGTGTACATGTATAGGCACCTTCATATACTTAAAACATCAGAAGTTATCATTCTAACTATACCGACAAGAAAACACGCTCACAAAGGGTAAGCAATCTGCCCAGGGTTTATTACTTGGCTCACGATGTACTGTCTCCCTCCAAAGTTCATGATCTTTCTGTTGCATGCTGACTCCCAAAGCAGTTTTTTTTAAATATCTCTCAATTTTTCTATTTTAACTTAAAAGATCATTCCTTTAAACATTTTCCACCTTGGCTCAACTCTGTATTACGTGCTGGTTCCACAATTACGGGGTACTCAGGGAAATAACATGACGTACGTGGCCTTTGTCTCAGAAGCTCCACTCTGGTTCAAGTACTTTAGTGTCAGCTGCACCTACCCAGGCCCTGGACCAGCAGACAGGAGACAATGCAAACAATGGGAGGATGAGATGACACCCATGACACTTCAGTCTTATGGTAGTTCACCATGTGGGGGTGCTCCTTGGCCCAGCCTGACTTCACCAACCTTGCCAAGTCAGCTAGTATGAGTCAGGCAAGCTTTACACAAATTTCTTCCCTCCATCTTTTTCAACAGGTAACAAATTATTGTTTAAAACATTTTTAAATGTCATAAAAAGATCAGTTAAAACTGATTAATGAAAACTGATTAATGAAAAGAAGTAACACTTTTCTTCAATGAAATTTATCAGGAACATTATAACTAGAGCACAACTTCTTGTGAAACAAGCACACTTCTCAGAAAGTGTGTCTAGAGTTTCTGTATTCTAGTATTTCTGTGAGAGAAAAACTGTTGCCAAGTTGTCTGCCTCCTGGTCAAAATAAATAAACTCTAAACTTAAACTCTGCAAGCCAAGGATATTCTGTATCTTCCAGCAATTTTTCTATAAAATGTTTAGGAACATCCTTAACCCACAAACAGAAACCAAAAGGTAGCTTTGTTTCTAAATATGAGGTGGACAGGCTATTTAATCCATCTGGTTTAGAAAACACACAAAGGAGGGAACAAAGTACAATGAAACAGTGTTAAATGAAACCTGACTAACTCAGAATCTGTGATAATCTGAAAGGGGTCTGAATAAAACTTAAATACTTAAAATTTCCCTGTATTTCCATACTTAGGACCTCATTTTCCCCCCTGAGAAATTCAAATCTCACATATGATACCTTTAAAGCTTTAATTTCTCCACTACCTACATTTTTTCCAACATACAAATATCTGCACGACCTGGTTCCTTTCCTCATGAAACTGATGCCCAACCACGTAAACACAACCATTCCTGAGTTCTTTATCCTCTGAACTTCTAAGGGATAAAAAAAACACACTGCAAGGCTCCCAAAAGAACTCAGTTAAGGTTTAGTATGAAGTTCTAACAGATATCTGTACTCTTTTAACCCTTACAATCTTTGAAAAGGATCCGCATTTTGCTTCATAAAGAGAACAATTAGTTCTATAATTTAATAACTACTTTGTAGGGGGGAAAAGCAATGATTTCCTATGATTAATGTGGTTATTCACAGTAGCTGTTACAAATGCAGTTGTGTTGTCAAGGAGTTTTAGTACTTGTTTTCAAAATTAAATATAAAATTTGAAAAATATACATTTGAAAACTTTTACCAAAAACACCTTCAGTACTGTTACTGGTCTTCATTTTAATATAAATTAAATGTTATCAAGATATACTATTAAACTGTAGCAAAAAAATTAAAGAGTACAGTCTAATTAAAATAAGCATGGTTATAATTATTTGAACCAAATAGTACTTATATAAGTCCCATAAGTCCAAATCTTTAAAATTCTCAGTAAATATATAAAGTTATACATAATCGCAACTATACCACAAAATTAGCAGCACCATTTAAACTTAAAAGTTTTTATTGTTAAAATGGGCTTTCAACAGCAATTCTTAATATAAACGTTTCACTCCATTTCCTACATTCAGGTACTAAATTACCACAAAGTTAAAATCTTAAGATCAATACATTTAACCTACTAAAGAGATTTTAATCCACAAATTTTTAAAAGTCATGTTTCCAAATACAGATTGCCAAGTAATTTGCACATATTAAACAAAAATGCAATTTTAACAACAGCTAGCACTCACTTAAAATTATTACTTGTCATGAGAAATGTCTCAAAAGCCCAGAAAATTTCCTTGTGAATGACAAAAACTATTTATTTCAGAATGGTCACTTACCACTTCTTCCAGTGCAGCACTACGCCCAAAAGAACAAGTGAGGTGTGTGAGACAGTTCACAAAGGACGAGAAAAGTTCACTTGGAATGGCAGTTAAGACGTTTCTAGGGAACACAGTTATCAGGTTGCTGATAATGCTGGAGATCCCCACAGCTTCAGAATCTTCTATTTCAATTCTACAAACCAGGTAACAAGAGTTACTGGTGGTGGAAAACAAGTTACAGTACCTCATTTCCAAACATGCAAAAAATTATCACCTATTCATTCATTTTTAAAGGCATGTCTCTGTATTAATTTCAAATTACCCATATAACTCAAAATATACAAAGTGGGGAAAAATCACTAGCTCCTTTTTTCCACCACTGTTAAACATAAAGAAAAACCTAAAGGTTCCTTTTTCAGTGACAAAGGGCAAGTATACCTACCCATTGATAGTACTCAGTAAACCCTCAATGAAGTGTGCTAGGTAGTCAACCTGTGCTCCTTCATCGGGGAAGACAGGTCCATGTAAAGAAGCTAACTGGGCCAGGCACTGCAGAGAATCTTGTGCCATATCCGAATCTTCTCTGATTTTTCGATGTACCTGTTAGAAAGAATTACTAATCCATAAAAATAAATTCTTCTTTTGTAAGGGTCACGTGTCTATCATGCCGAATGAGGTAAGAGAAAACTTCACAGAAGCTGGTAATTTCTAGAAAATTAATACCTGAATTAAGCTAAATTTGAGAATGTCCCTCAGTCCACTTTGCATTATAGACCATGATTTTAAACATATCAATTAATTTTAACTGCAGGCTACCTACATTTTGAACATTGAACTATCTCCAGCATGTTATGACAAAGAGAGAAACAGATGCCAGCCAGTCAGACATAGTGCTTCTTCTAAAAACAGCAACAACGACAGTCATCTGTATTATGCTAGCTATGCCTCGCTACAGCTCCTTGCTAAAGTTAGCAGACAAGTTCAATCAGGAGTATACAGATGCTGCTTTAGTGAAAGTAAACAGTTGCACATGGAGAAAACCAATATACTGCTCAATTCCTAGACATTCGTTCATTCAGCTGACATAAAGCACTCTCAATAACTCTTGAGGTTGCCTAAAATTTGTTTCAATCTCACTTTATCCTACATCATTAATAAATGCCAAAATATTTTAAAACAAAAATTGTATTTAAAGCCACTTTAAACTTCATCTAGATTTTATTTCAATGATGCAATACCGATGTGAAACACCAGGTGTACAGTATTCCGGATGAAGGAAGTGCTTCCAAAATATTGCTCCCTAACTTTACAGTGTTACTAATATTCTCAGATTTTAAAGATGCTTCATTTCTGTGAGTTCACGTCTAATTAAAATAGCCAAGGAAAACAATAAAGAAATTGTGACCATTTTCTACTTTCCACAAGCATTTGACTTCTTCAGTCCTTTTCCTACACAACTCTCTCTGCTTTCTGAATATAACATAATTTTAAACATTTATTCTCTATTTGTTTCAGGTTATGTTAACTTTGACTCTGCAAATCATAATAATTACTTGAAGTCAGAACATTTCTCTTAAGTATTTGCTGGTACAGTGCTAGGACACAATGAACAGATACTAAAAAAATCCTCATTCACCACTGATTCTATTAAGTTTTAATCCCTGAACTTCTTAAGGTTCTAAGAAACTTAAAATACTAAAAGTCACAAAGTTAACTGATCTACTGACATTTAAAATATGTTACCCTCTCTGGTCTAGAACAGCATTGGCAAACCATGGCCCACAAGCCTAATCTGGCCTCCACTCATTTTGTATGGCTGTGGTTTTTACATTTTTGTATGGCGCGGGCAGGATCAAAGAATATTTCAAGAGATGTAAAAAGTATACAAAATCTACATTTTTACATAAGTTCATAAAAGTTTTACTGGAACACTGCCATGCTTATTTGTTCAGGTACTGTCTAGGGCTGCTTCTATATTGCAATTACAATGGCAGAGCTGAATAGCTGCCTCAGAGAACACATGACCTGCACGGTCTAATATTCACAAGGGGGCTTTACAGAAAAAGTTTGCCAACCCCTGGTCTAGAACAACAAAAATGTTTTTCAAAGTATATTCTATATTTTAAGTTTTATATAATAAATTTAAAGTACAACTTAAAATTCCTATGTCTGCATCGTCTAATAAAGTTTTGAACATAACTCATTTGGAAGTTCCTTGTCTGAAAACTATAACTAAATTTCAGTCATCATGCCCTTGTATCTAACCAACATTAAACATGATATCCGTGGATGCATTATCAATGGGTACAATGCAATCTGGGACAACAGTGGGTTTCTCCTCTGCCCAGAGAGCCAAATGGTTGCTTGTTCCTGGTCTTGTGATAACAAAAGAAAGAATACCTTTAATGGAAGAATATTGACTATATAATAAAATAAAAATAAGAAACTGTCCTCAGAGCTTATCTGTACTGTTCTCTAAAACATGAGCCACAGGCCCTGGTCAGGTAGCTCCATGGTTAGAGTATTGTCCTAATACACCAAGGTTGCAGGTTCAATCCCCAGTCAGAGCACATACAAGAAACAACCAGTGAATGCACAAATAAGTGGAACAACAAATTGATGTTTCTCTCTCTCCCTTTCTCTCTAAAAATCAATAAATAAAAAAATTTTAAAAACCACAAAAAACCATGAGCCACATAAAGCCCAAGATAAACCAATGATTGTTACGCAATATAGTAGGTTCATGCCCTTCTTCCAACGTCAGCATTACAAAGGCACTCTACCATATCTGAACTATATTCTACACATTTAAAACTGAATTCATCATCCAAATAGGGAAGAAGCAGAGGGATAAGGAAAAGCCAAGTCTAGCAGAACACCCAGAGAGGTGAACGGTAAGGCAGGATAAGGGTGAAGACAAGGAACAGAGAGCGCCAGTGAGTGAGGTGACGATTTCCATGGAACATGCTGACCCTGAGATGTCTGTGGGCCTTCCAAATCCAAGCCTCCAGTAAGCACTGGGATTATAGGCCCTGGACTCTGGAGCAGCCTGTGCTGAATATAGACCTAGGAGTCATCAGAGTAGAAGCGGTGCCTAAGATCCTACATGGGGAAGGGGCAGCCCAAGGAAACTGTATGCAGTCAGTAAAGTTGAGAACTGACATGGGAACACTACTATTTATTCAAAGGCAGAGAAAGAAGAGACCCTAAACTAGATAAAAAAGAATCTTACAAAAAGGTAGGAGATTTTTCCAACATTTGATGGAAGAGAGAAAAACTGAGAAGTCTATAAACTTCAGGTGGGCAATATTCCTAAATTCAGGTAATCAACATACTGCAAGCTTGATTCCATGCAATAGTACATTTATGTTTAGCTACTCAATACAGAAATAGTGATATCTCATGGAAAACTGCTTTCAATTAGGTAACGAATCCTATGATTGAAAATAAATTTAACAAAAACTGAATAAAATTTTAAGATTTAGTGATTGTCATTTTTCTAACAGATAAAATTTAAATTGTTTATAAACTGCTTAGATGAAAATAAGAGGCCACAAACACAAAGCTATAGAAATAACAAAGTGAAAAAGGGTTAACTTTCAAATTCGAAAGTTATTTGCATGTGGTCTTTCACAGCTGACAGGAGCAGCTGTCTGGTTTGTGGAGACAGCTGTTCAGATTTGGAGTCGCCATTTCCAGGACTGCCAGCAAGTTTTCCACCTTTTCACAAACTGCTGGAGTGGGGTCTACTTTTAGCTGAACGAGCAACACAAAGATCTGAACTTGGATCCATATTAAAACAATTTCTGCCAAACGAGGCAAGCAACAGAATTTTTCAATTCAGTTACAATGATCTCTTTGATACTGACAGTATTTTTAGTCATTATTTCTGATTTAAAGAAAAAAAATAAAGCTAATGTTTAGCCTGAAACTTTCCACAGAAAACACCTTAATGTATAACATGGATGAGTAACCTCATTCTAGAGATTCTTAAATATATACAATATTTTAAATAGTTCAATAAAAAATGGCAACACAGTTGTAACACTAGTAAATAATTATTTTTAAAACATGAAAAGGTAAGAAATTATTATTAATGCTTGGAGTTAAGCAAAATAGTCTTTTTTCTTTTTAACTGCTCTTTATTTAGGCCTTTGCCCTGCCAGACATTAGATCTAACTTGTACGTTCATGCTCCAACAGCACTCAGCCTCCAAAACACACACACACACACACACACACACACACACACACACACACTTCCCTACAGCTTCTGACTATTATATTGAGGCTGTGGGCAAACATGGAACATACCGCTTACTTCTTTATATTTAGCAAATAAGAAATAGCACTATTTAAAAAAAAAAAAAAAATTCTATGCAATAACCCTAACTTCACCCATGACCGATAATTCATACATAAAAAGTACACTATTCTAGAAGAGCAGTTCTCAAAATGTGGTCGAGGGATCCCTAGGGGTTCCTAAGACCCTGCCAGGTTGTCTCTAAGGACAAAACTGTTTTCCTACAATAATACTAAGACAATCATTATCTTTTCCATCCTTATTATCACACATGTATACAGTGGAGCTTCCCAAAGGCTATATGTAGTGTGTAATACTGCAACCAACTGAACACAGAAGCAGACATGAGATCAGCTGTCCTGTATTAAACCTAACATTAGAGAGATTTGCAAAAACTGTATAATGCTACTCTTCTCACTAAACTTTTTTTTTGTTCACAAAAATAGAGCTCTTTGTTCATTAAAATGCTATTATTATGTCATGGTTTGGTATTACTATTTTAAAATGAATTAATACATTATTTTTTAAAGTTCTCAGTTTGAATTTTTAATATGGCAAATATTGTTACAACCCAGATAAACAAAAGCTCTTTGGTATCCTCAATAATTTTTAGGAGTGTAAAGCAGTCCTAGACCAAAAAGTTTGAGAACTTCAGCTCTAGGATATGAAGCCCTTCATAATTCTAGACTTTTATAAATCAGCAGGAACATTTCTATGTAATTTCTGTTTGAGCAGATACATTGATTAGAAGAGAAGGCTTTAGAGGACAAAAGCGATCTGTGCATTTTTACCTAAGAAAACTACAGAAGCATATACTCCTTTAGTGGCCCTTTCCATGACCTTTGCTACCAGAGAGGAAAGATACAACTTACTGTAAAGAAAAGCTCCATGACTCTGCTGTCCAGAAGGGTCTCCCGCCAGGACTCCGTTGGCTTTAACAGCACATTTTGTGAGGATTCAAACATGGCTATATAATGTCTGCCCAGTTATCTGGTGTCAAGGTCAACAACAATAACATTCTTACTTTGTCCAAAGTATAAATATACCCTAAATATAACAAGAGCCATCCAGAAAGAATGTAATGGAAACAGTTTAAGCCTCTTCACATATGCTACATAATTCATGCATGAAGCTTAGGAATAAAAGGCATTAAGTGCTGAAAAAAAGAATGCTATAGGAATGCACAATAACAGTGTCATTGTAATGATATAGCATGCTGCAGGAATACAGAAATTTTGATGACCAGAGATCTTAATGGTGGCGACAGGAGGATGAACACTCATGCAAAACAGATGCCAAAATATATACAAAAAAGGAGAAATCAATATACAAAATGTGAGTCTCACAGAGTCTACTTGGGAAAATAGCATTTCCCCAAAAGAAATATATTCCAGAACAGCCCTAGCTGGTTTGCTCCTTGGTTAGAGCATCAGCCTGCAGACTGAAAGGTCATGGGTTCGATTCCAGTCAGGGCATGTACCTTGGTTGCAGACTCGATCCCCAGCCCCGGTCTGGGCACATGCAGGAGGCAACCAATCAATGTGTCTCTCTCACATCGATGTTTCTCTGTGTCTCATCCTCTCTCTCCCACTCTCTAAAAACAAAAAGAAAAAAAGAAAAAATATCCTCAGGTAAGGATTAACGAGTTATATTTTTATATATATATATGTGTGTGTATATATATATATTTTCCCCCCAAGAACAAACATATATCACATTGAAGAAGAAAAACTCCCACATCAGAGTAATCAAATACCAATTACACACAAAGAAATAATTGGTTCACATAAAACATATTTAAAAATCAATGCTCATTTAAAAATCCCACAGACTTGCCCGGCCGGGCGTGGCTCAGCGGTTGAACATCGGCCTAGGATCCAGGCAATCGGGGTTCGATTCCCGGTCAGGGCACATGCCTGGGTGGCGGGCTCGATCAGTGGCTCTCTCATCATTGATGTTTCTATCTCTCTCTCTCCCTCTCCCTTCCTCTCTCTGAAATCAATAAAGATATATTTAAAAAATAAAAAATAATAATAATAAAAATCTCACAGACTAAAAAATCAGTTTGTATGGTGTTCAGGTGCTCCACATCAAACATACTTCTAAAAGAATACTGTCTTTGCCATACATAAGTCACCATAATATATTTACAAAAGTTTATGAACATAACTCACTCAATGACACTGACATGGTAAATGAGGTCTTTCAGAACTAGGAAGGCTTTGGGGCCTAAAGACAATAACTCTGCCTATCCCACAGTTCATCAAATGCCCAGCTGAAATATATCTACCAGGCTACATTCTCATCACTGCATAAGAAACTGCAAAAACAGTTATCCAAAACTACAGCTTGCAAAACTTAGATATAAGTTCAAATGCTGTAATTTCATTAAAGCCCAAATCATTAACAGAGAACATTAAAAGCTGTGACAATATTTGGAAAGCATTTTTTAAAGATTACTGCTTAACCACCTTTTAAAATCTCTAATGTTATTTTGTGCCTAAAGAGTAGGGGAGCACTGCTAGTTGTTTCAGAAGAGAGTCTACTTGCTGGATTTTGAAAAATCACTCCACTCAATAGATGAATAAAAGACAGACCCAAACCAGGGCCATTTCAGTTCCTTACCTGCCCCCTTGTGGAGGTGCAGGGGGAGTCCAACACTGAAAGAAAGGAACTGTTGGAACTCAATAAAGCCAGTCTGAATTTAAAAAAAAAAAAATCAGCCCACGAATACTGTCTGTTTTCAGTGTACTAGTAGTTTCTAAAATGATCTCATGTTCTCACTAGAAACCTAAGGCTGTTAACAATATGACCTTCATTCACAATGTAACACCCTGATTGAATACTAGGTTTTTCTACATGTAGTTTTGTTTTCCAGTTCAGAACCTGGAAGAGATTTCTCTGACACAAAGTCTGCCTTCCATCAAAAAAGCTTATTTGTAAGGCACCTCACTCACAGAGTCAGCATGACGTCTTTGAAGAACCACCACCCATTCCTACCACTAACAATACCACATTCTTATAATGAAAACACACATATTCTAGTTTGTATAAGATACACCCAATATAACTTAATTACAAATAATATCTCTCTACTAAAAAACATGTAATTATCACCCAAAGCATTTAAATAAAAACTTAAACATAAAAACAACAAAAAGAAACATTATTATAATGAAGGAAACAAAAATTTTAAAAACACTATTCCAACAAGAAATGTATTTTTTAGTTAGCAGATTGTGCAGGAGAACTTGAAATTGTTGCCTCTGAACAGGAGACTAAGAGGACTCTTTTGTGTTACCTGAAAGATCACTATGAATGTTCAGGTGTTACTTTTCAATTTTAAAAACTAGTTAGAAGTATATTACAATGTGAGAATACTCAAATACATTCAAAATAATGTAAAGAATTAGGATAATTCAANGGAGAGGGAGAGAGAGAGAGAAACATCAAGGATGAGAGAGAGTCATTGACTGGCTGCCTCCTACACACCCCCGACTGGAGATGGACCCCGCAACCAGAGCAGGTGTNAAAGGAACTGTTGGAACTCAATAAAGCCAGTCTGAATTTAAAAAAAAAAAAATCAGCCCACGAATACTGTCTGTTTTCAGTGTACTAGTAGTTTCTAAAATGATCTCATGTTCTCACTAGAAACCTAAGGCTGTTAACAATATGACCTTCATTCACAATGTAACACCCTGATTGAATACTAGGTTTTTCTACATGTAGTTTTGTTTTCCAGTTCAGAACCTGGAAGAGATTTCTCTGACACAAAGTCTGCCTTCCATCAAAAAAGCTTATTTGTAAGGCACCTCACTCACAGAGTCAGCATGACGTCTTTGAAGAACCACCACCCATTCCTACCACTAACAATACCACATTCTTATAATGAAAACACACATATTCTAGTTTGTATAAGATACACCCAATATAACTTAATTACAAATAATATCTCTCTACTAAAAAACATGTAATTATCACCCAAAGCATTTAAATAAAAACTTAAACATAAAAACAACAAAAAGAAACATTATTATAATGAAGGAAACAAAAATTTTAAAAACACTATTCCAACAAGAAATGTATTTTTTAGTTAGCAGATTGTGCAGGAGAACTTGAAATTGTTGCCTCTGAACAGGAGACTAAGAGGACTCTTTTGTGTTACCTGAAAGATCACTATGAATGTTCAGGTGTTACTTTTCAATTTTAAAAACTAGTTAGAAGTATATTACAATGTGAGAATACTCAAATACATTCAAAATAATGTAAAGAATTAGGATAATTCAAATTTTAATGTGGTATTACCAATTAATTAACTATTTTAATAATGTGTGAAGACCCCAAAATACCACTCCTCCCCCAGGTAATTCTTTTTTTTTTTTCCTAAATATGTCTTTAGTGATTTTAGAGAGAG